AAAGTCACTTTCTCATTTAGACCTTTTGAATGAAGGAGAATTGATGATGTTTGTCCATGTCAGACATGAATGTTCCAAAGCACTAGAGTTGCCAGATTAAAGCATAATATGAGGCTTCACTGCTATGATAGTTAAGTCAATGTAATGAGTTTCTTGCTAGTTTAGCTCCCTGAGCTGCCCTGTTGTAAGACTCCATACTTTACAGTCCTGGTGCAAACAAAGGGAAAAAACAGGTAGGATGGCAAGAAAGGCAGGAACCTGGCAATGTTGACTTAAATTGTTTTCAACTGAATTGGCATGAGTTTGTATAGTCTGAATCAAATGAACAGCTTGTGGCTGCTGAATGGAGATGGGCTTGTGCCCCTCTTCCTCGCTCTTGGCTCCACACTGTGATGTCTCATCTTGAGCTAGCTCTAGGCACATGATGTCACGATAAACTAATCTAACTCACTAAAATGGCAGAAAACTAACCTGACACGAAAAATAAATTAACTGTTTGTTTGGTTTTTTTTCTAGTTGGGTTAACAATTTTGGGGGACTGCAAGAGCCTGGGAGCGGGTGCAAAGGGAGGAGGTTGTGTCTGTGAGTGGGTGGTGGGAAGGAATATGGGTGTGGAAAGGAGGAAGGCTAGGGGAGGGAAAGTGGGGGAGGAGGTAGTGCAGGACCTTCTCTTATCTGCAGTGAGCTGCCGTGGCTCTGTTGAGAAACCTCACCGTGCAAAGCCAGCTCTGTGGTTACTGGGCCAGCATCAGGTGGTGCATTGGTAACTCAGAGGCACAATTTTATACAGCAGTGTTCCACATCTAAGCTTCTCTACTCCAAACGTCTGGATCTTCTGTTTTGATATATGCTACTTTTTAGCTTTTGTACCCATAGTGGTATTCTTTCTGGAGATGTAATTAACTTTAGTGTTTTCATTTTTCACATGATTATAACTTGGGAGATGAGCTTGACCTTCTTCCTGTTACAGTTACTGGAATGCTGTTGAGCTAGCAGGCTCAACAGAAAGTTTAGCTGCCTGAATGTTAATTTAGATTATGGTGATACCAATTCAAAAGTGCAATAGTTGCTCCTTAGTGACTTATCACCTACAGGATCTTATTCCAGATTGAGATTGTTTGTAGTAACCTGAGCTGGAACCCTTAAGAAGTTTAGGAATTACTAACTTCGTAGACAAGGTTCTTCTGTTATCCAAAAGCAGATAGAAAAAGCTTCATTAGCATGGTCACAGGACATTCCTTCTGGAGCAATCTGGCTCTGTGGAGGCTATGAGAAGAGGAAGGATATTGTTGGAGTTCTAGCAAGATGCTTGAACCCTTGACGTTCAGTCTGGGGCCTGTATCCTATGGAGAGCTTTACCTGTGAGTTAAGCAGGAAGAAGCCTGGAAATCCACAAAATTGCTCTGTCCCCACAGTTGTGCCTGGTATATATTTTAGGGTAGTTAATGATTTGTACCAACACCAACTCAGTTTAACCCATCTTCTATATTTCTGCTGGTTTGATTGTGTTAACTTCTGTGAAGTGCTTTCATATTTTTCAGGACAAGTGGGAGAATCCTGCAAGAGTAAATATTTTTTCTTGTGGGATCTTGTAGTATTGGGCAGGGAGCCAAAATTAATATAAAAAAGAAACAGACCTTTTGGTGTGTGGTTTTTTTTTTTCTTTTCTATTTTAAGATGATGCTTTTGTTTGGTAGAAAGAATGTTGGATTCTTTATTTTTGTTCTGAGAAACCCGACCAGCAGCTACCTTTCCTACTCAAGCATTCTTTCCTCTCTCACTGTATTGAATACTTTTGCTGAATAAATGCTGAGTTGGTACAATACCTGTTTAAAAAACAAACCCCAAACTGAACTGAATCAGCTTGTTAAAATGAATAGAAACTATCTGCACTTCTCTAGGCTTTTGTTTGAAAGCATGTTTAGTGTCACGATTGTTTAAATTTTATTTTAAAAATATTTCTGTAAGCTTAAGTTGTGACTTCTAGTTTTCTGTGGAATCTAATGCAACATACTTACTCTTGGGCTTCTGGCAAGCAGGAAGTGGAGGAAAGAAGTCATAAACATCTGTCCCAATCCAATTTTCTTTAATAAGTTGTGCTTTTAAGTCACTTACTGTTGTAAAGATGGCACTTGGAAGAGGTTTTCAGACCAGTACAGTGAGCAAAAAGGCAGTTCACATGCTCCAAGCAGCAGCGTAAAAGCCAGTCATTTTAGCAGCAGAAGTTAAAACTGAAAGTGCAGTGACCCTCCCAGCTAAAGAGAATCACGTTAGTATGTTCTCAGGGAAAGCTCTAGATGTTGGCCAATAGAGGTGCTGTAGTTTTTTCTGGGAAGGAGTCATGTGAGGGTGGAATAATACGTTCTGCTTCTTCCTTCTGGTTGCTGAGTCTCTGGTCTGTGAGTGGGGAACCGGGAGAGAAACAGTGTGCTCGTTCTGCCTTTCAGCACCGCTGCAGCTTGGAAGGGCATCACATTCCCAGTATACCTGCCGAACAGAGTACGTGTGAAAAATGCAAATTCCTGAGTAGTCTAGAAATAGCTCCCTGGAAGGGATTCCTGTTTCCTCTCCTCTCCTGCTTTGACATTAAACCTGCACAGCAGAGTTCTCAAATCTTTCATGTTTTCAGTTATTAGCATGAGTTTTATGGCTGTCGAGGATCTGGGCATAATCCATTCCTTGAGTATCAGTGACTGGGATGTTTAGAAAAGTGCAAGCTGAAAAGACGACTGGACAAAAACAGGAATGAGAAAGAAAAAGACATTGAGAATGGAATGAAAAAGAGTAGAGGAAATTGAAGAATGCATTCAGTTGTACTGTGTTTGAGAAGAATAAACTGTGAGTCTGAAAGAAAAATCTAAAGTGATTGTAAAGGGTAGGAAAAAACCCTCAAAATGGTGTATGTTATGGGAAGAAAAGAAGTGAAGTCAGGAAGCAACGTGGTTATAACCAAAACATTAAAAGACTATATGATTGTATTCTTTGCCTGTTAATAAGATGCTGATTTACAAGTTTACAGTAATATGTACAGTAGAAAATATTTTCCTGTTATAGTCCTTACATTGAAGGGATGTAGTGGCCTAAACTCTTTATGAGACTTACTTATGGAAGATGGGGATATAGGGGCTTTTGTACCTGTGGCAGAGTCACGTTCTTGAGCGATTGGTATTTAGGTATTCCCCTCTCTCCTGGCCTACCTTTTATGTGATCATATAGCTTTTATGTGGGCATAGACTTCTACACAACCAGGGCGATGTAATTTAAAACAAAATAGCATTTGTAAGTTAGACTTGATTATACCACCCTTGTAGGCAAGTTCTTCTCTTTGATTTTTTTTTTTTTTTTTATTTTTAGCTCTCTGCTGAAGACAGTGTCTTTCAAACTAAAGTCTGCTTTCCTGTATTTTATTTCATTTTAAATCAGATTATTGGAAGAATTTGTAAATCATATCCAAGAATTACAGGTAATGGATGAAAGGATTCAGAGAAAGGTGGAGAAACTAGAACAGCAATGCCAGAAGGAAGCTAAGGAATTTGCCAAGAAAGTACAAGAGCTGCAGAAAAGCAACCAGGTAAAATCTAAAAACTGTAGTCAGTGCTAAGCTGTGCAAGTTTTAAAAACGTCACGTGCTCTGTTAACATTTCTTCGTACAGCATGCTACTCTTTGAGATAAGAATAAAGAGGGTTTGATGGAAAACAATTTCCCCTGTCAAAGGGGGCTTATCTGCATGTTCCATTAATGAGTGTTAGCTATTCTGAAAGTAGCGAGTCTTCACAATAGTTTAAAGGAAGACACTCAACTTTAAGCGGTTGTGTGTGCTTGCTTATTGGTGTTGAGTAGTTCTGAGATACAACACCTGGAAAGCCAATGCCTGCATTCACTATGCTTCTTACTGAAGTAAATACAGTGTTTCCTAAAGTACAGTAAATGGAAATTGTGACTTTTGTGTCTGTGTCTATGTTCTCCCAGGTTGCCTTCCAGCATTTCCAAGAACTAGATGAGCACATCAGCTATGTAGCAACTAAGGTCTGTCACCTTGGCGACCAACTGGAGGGGGTAAACACGCCACGGCAACGGGCTGTGGAGGCTCAGAAGCTGATGAAATACTTTAATGAGTTTCTGGATGGAGAGCTGAAGTCTGATGTTTTTACAAACTCTGAAAAGGTAAGAGCTGTCAGCGGGATGAAAGCAGTTCAAAGCAATAAGCAGTACTGCCCTAATTACAAGCTGCTACCATGACTTACCATGGTCAGACTTCAAACCAGTGAGTGACTGACTTGTTAAAGTTGCATTGTTCTGAAATGTAAATTAACAACACTAGGCTGCAGATTGCTGATAAAGCATTTGTATTCAGTGATGCTTAATGTGGCAATGTTGGCATTTTTCGTTTTATGAAATTATCAGAGATTTGAGAAATGCTGGGAGGGCAACTTTAGAATGCATACAATATCTGCCTTTTTCCTTTGAACCCCTTGCCTCAGATCCACCCTGTAATGCAGAACGTTTCTGAATGCAACTTCTTTGTGAAACTTCACTCTGTTGGGTCAGTCCAGTGGCCTTGGATACCTTTTTGTCACAGCATGCCTTTGGGCTTTGTATAGTCCTGTGGTTATGTCTCCACCCTCTGAATTTAGAGGAACCAGGCAGGAAAACTTCAAAGAAATGTTAGAGCATTTTGTTTTTCTTATGCTTCAAGAGTATATTCATGAAGCAAACATAATCTGAATGGTGTGGCTAATAGAAATAAACTGAAGGAAAAGTGTCCAGCTGTCAGCGAAAGGCCATATATTAGATTTCCCTATGCAGTTTGAAAGCTAAGTAAAGTTGATGGTTTGGGTTGGTTTTTTGTTTTGTTTTGTTTTTGTTCTTGGTGGTGGTGGGTTTTTTTGAGGTGTGTCCTGAAGAATCTTCCTGCTTTCCTTAAATTCTGTGCAGTAGTATGATTCTAGTCAGGAAAAAATTACAGTATGTGGGAACAGCAAAAAATTTGATTTGCACATTCAGCAAAAAAAATATATGCTTGAAATAGAGCTCATAAAGGACCTGAGAATAGGTTAATAGTCATCCCCTCTCTACTGACCTGAAGTATCTCTCAGGGAAATGAAAAACTAATCATTTCAGAGTTGTATTCCCAAGAAGTCAGGTGGATAGTAACTTTTGATTTATGATCTGTGGATATATGGTAATTGCCAGTTGGTAGTTTGCCCTAATCAAAGAAGGAGCACATAAAAACTTCTGACTTCCAAGTAAAACAGAAAGGTTTCAACATAACAAAAGTTCTTCTATGGACAGCCTTTTCCAGGCCTAAGTTTTTATTTTTTTTTTTCCCCTAAGTAGAAATAAAACATGCATTTTAAAAATGTTTAATGGCAACATTGTAAATAACAAAGCCTAAGTTAAAGAGAATTGTGTTGTCTACTGAAGAATCCCATACAGAGTTCAACTTCCACTTAAAACTTAAAGTTTTATAATACTTTCTGTTAGAGGATATGAAAAAAACGGTAGATAAATTGGGTAAACCTGGAAGTTGGTAAACAAATTAATCTTTATACACCCTAAAGAATAACAAGACATTCAGCAAATCTGGAGGAAAACATGCATAGTAAAGGCCAGAAGTCTTGTGCCAGTCTGTAGAGGAAATGTGTAGGAACACAAACAAGATTTTCTAGATACAAGTTTTCTTACTGAGACTAATTTCAGTCAAGATGGGTTAGTACTGTTCTGTAGCTTTTTGCCTCCTGGTTTAAATAGTAAGTAGAAGTAGTGTTTATAAAAGAACCTGCCTAGACATGCGCTGTCACATCTTAATGCATCTTTGAACTAAAAATAGTTCTAAAGTATGAGACAGTAACAAATATTTTTAAATGTAAAACCTTAATGCTTTGTCAGTGTCTTCTGATCTTCAGACTGATTTGGGTTTTAGATAGTGTTTTGGAGGATGTTACCATTTTTTTGTACTAAGCCATCCCTCACAACTGTAGGTTTTTCTTTGAGACATTTAGGGCAGGCGATACTGTGAAAGGAGAGGCAAGAAAAGAATTATAATGCAGTTATTTCTTAGGGAATTCATATTTTTCTCAGTAGTGTCAGTTCTTAATCTGTTGGCTTCCTTTTTTTCCCTATGCTCAAGTTGTTGCTTCCCACGTTACTTTCTCCTAGCTGTACTGAGCAGTTTCTAACTTAGCGTCTCTGTGAAGGTTTTTTCCTTGCTGTCTTGTCCCATATTATGTATTGTGTGTCATCATCCTCTGAATCCTTATAATTTCCCTTGAACTGCCAGCTAAACAGTCCCTCTCCTGTACTGAAGTCTTGAAGTGAGCAAATCACTCCAGTTAGAACAGTTAAACTATCAAAATGATACAGCAGCTCACTTGTTTACCATGCAATAGTATTGTCTTGTGTTTAATGTGTTTACTATTATTCTTAACTCCTTTTCTCCATTTATGTTCTGTACTCAAAGTTATTCTGTTATGCCTTTTAATTTGTTCATAAAAATATTTTGTGTTAAAATTCTCTCCTGCTATTATTTGTCCACAATTTTTCAGATTTTTTCGCAGGTGTGTTCTAGCCTTTAGGTTGTATTTTACAGAATATATTTTGATTTAATAGTTTACAGAAGCCTGATTCAATTAAAAATGAAATATGTCCAGATTTAAGCCGAACCCATGGAAAATTGATTTGTCATGGATTCTGTTGTGTATAAGAAAAGGCTCTGAATTCAATAAAATCTAAGTTAGTTAACAACTATTGTGTGAAGAGGAGACAAAGAAAATGTTATATTTGTGGGGTACTTTGATCGAGGTTGGTTGTTTGTTTGTGTTGGGGTTTTTTTGTTAACATCGGTGAATAACTGCTAATATATAGACTATTCTAATGACATCACTATTGATCACAGTTTTTACTTAGGTATTAAGGTTGCTGTAAGCTAATAGAAATAACCGCTGTTTCATTGGATTTACTTGAGGAGCGTAGCTGCTTTTGACTTAAGAGGCTATTGTAAGCTGACAGTTCAAAACATAAGCTGCTCTTAATAAGCAGAATGGATATACTTTGAGAGCCCCTGGTTTTGCTGAACGCCCAACCTAGCGTGATCCCTGTGCTCTGTATTCTTACCTATGTGTCATGTTCTATTCTTGAAAAGTTTTAATTCCGATCTGCTGTAAGTGGTGGGAGAATAGGATTTCATTACTTCCTTTCCTCTCGCTCCAGTCCCCTGGAACATGACTAACAGGAAGAACAAGAACTGCATCTTCTCAGTGTTCTCCGTTGTGTCAGCTTAGAAAGGTTTTGCTTCAACGTAGTAGCCAGAGCTTTCATCACCCCCTTTGAGGTGCCTTCCAGTCATCAAGAGAGCATAATAAAGTCTGTAAAACCTTCCCAGAGTTGTGTCCAGTTTGGGCAAGTCAACGCTCTGTGTGTGCTTAAATCCAATAAACTTCAGTTGCAACCAGCCTTGTTCCCCACACTTTCAAGTTGGTGTTTTCTACAGGTCTAGTCAGCCTAGTGCAACAGTCGCTAAGTGCTACTTAGGTGCACCTCCCATGCTGATTGATTGTGGAAGAATAAATGATAAAAGGTTTTGCTGTGTAGGACAGAGGAGAAATTTGCGTGCTGCGTTAACTTTATTTGTTAGCTTTTGTATCCATGCGACTGTTTCTATTTTGTAGATGCATGATTAGCTGACCTTCATCTTGATCTTTGCTTTGGACCTCAGAGTTTATAATTTCTAATACAGCTTCCATTTCTCCTTCCTTGGAAGAATGTGAGCTACTCCAGCTATGCTGTACTTTGATCCCCTTTTTCCCCTTGCTCCCCTTTCCATGCCGAGCATTGGCATGGCTTTTTTGGATACAGCAATGCAGCTAATTTCATCAATTTTGAAGAACTCCCTAGTGCTTTTTCTGACATGTCTGAAAGGGTTGCTAGACATTTCACTTCTGAGTTCAACAGAGATCTCTCCTGGTGGGGTGTGAGTCAGTAAGATTTTATCCTAATCCCTTGTAAAGTATAATGTTGCAGTTCAGCCAGCTGTGTGTTACAGATAGATATTTTATTCCCAAATGGAAGGGTGCAAAATTTCATGCAATTGCTCTGGCCACGTTCTGATCTAGTCAGCCCTGAGGAATCTTTGGTCTGCAAGATGCATAGCTATGTTGGCACAGTGCAGCGATGAGGTATTTGTCCAGGTAGCTTAGACACCTACACAGACACGCCCAGTGTGAACATGAAAGACTTTTTATCGTATTTTGACCTATATCATGTTATGTTAAAAAAATACCTTAAGCGTCATAAAAGTGTGTACTGGAACTTAAAGGGGGTGATCTCTTCCACGGGTATATCAACTCAACCAGCTTTAGAAATAGCAACTACGTGTATGAAAATCGGACAGTGGAGGAAAGGAATAGCCCACAGTCAGACCTTCTTTAATAATTGTCATGTTTTACTCTTAACAGATTAAAGAGGCAGCTGATATTATTCAGAAACTGCATTTGATTGCACAGGAACTGCCTTTTGACAGGTAAAATTCTATCTGAAAATCTTTTAAAAATATTCACATAGCTCTAATTTTCTGATGCTTCCCCTGTCTACTTTTTTGGTGCTTTACTTAGTGATTCATGTAGCTTTTGAGATGGATTGTGTGCTTATTTCTCTCTCCTCTATTCTCAGATTTGTATTCACACACTCATGTTGTAGGATCATCTTTACATACACATCCTAAACTGCTTAACAGACTTTTAATGGGATAATTCTGCTGTGCTGACTTAATGCTAGATTTGAATTAGATGCTCATAGGTTTTTATGGATATAAAGTGTGTAACTTTTCCATCGTCTTTGTGTTACATGTTTTCCTTTTTAAGTAGAGTGCCTGTTACTCATGATCTAGGATGTCTGTGATTTCTCATGATGTGGATTTGAATTTAATCATGGTATTTTTTTGTTGTTAACAGGTTTTCTGAAGTAAAATCAAAGATAGCAAGTAAGTTATCTATCCAGTTCAATCCATATTCCTATATTTGAATTGTTAAAGATGATTACAGAAGTATGCAGTACTGGCAGTATTACAGTTTTTGTCGGTGCTTGTATTGCATAGCCTGATGGATTTTTGTTGTTATCCCTTTTCCTCTCCAGGTAAGTACCATGATTTAGAGTGCCAGCTAATTCAAGAGTTTACCAGTGCACAGCGGAGAGGCGAAATCTCCAGAATGAGAGAAGTAGCAGCAGTTTTGCTTCATTTTAAGGTAAAATCTGAGGGGTTTAACCCACAATACGATAAGTGCCTGTTTTAAGTGAATATATTTGAATGGGTAAAACCATCATATCAGATAACACATGTAACTTTTCAGATAACACATAGTTCCATCTGAAATCAAACGCAGGGGCATAAAGGAGGCAGATGATGGGGGATTGGAGGCAGTGTCAGTAGAGACCATTCTAAAATAATCTTTTCTTGTGTGTGTGTGTGAACTGACTTCTGTGCTTGAGAAAGTGTTGAAACCTGTGGTGATAAGTGAAGTTATGTTAGGTTTGTGACAAAAATGGGTTTGAAAGAGTCTACGCTTTTGATGAATCTATTTGTTTTGCAATAACTTTTTCACAGGGGTTGTATTTCCTTGACTTCATTCTATACTGAAAGCATGGAGAACTTACTTTAACACTGAGTTGTTTTGCTCCTCCCATAGGGCTATTCCCATTGCGTTGATGTGTATATAAAACAGTGTCAAGAGGTAATGCATTTTGTTTTACATGTATCTCTTTGGGTGTTGATTTATTTAGTTGTATAGATTGTTGTAAATATATTATGAAATGTGCTTCTAAAACCCTAGGGTGCATTCCTGAGGAATGACGTCTTTGAAGATGCTGCCATTCTTTGCCAGCGAGTGAATAAGCAAGTTGGAGAAGTCTTTAGCAATCCAGAGACTGTGCTAGCCAAACTCATTCAAAATATCTTTGAAGTTAAACTTCAGGTATTTCAAATTTTAACATGCTGAAGTTCGTTGAGGAGACTTTTCATCCAAAAATATTGTAATAACATTTAATGAGAATTTACAGTATTTGTAGTCTTGTATAAGGATGAAGAATCACAGCTGATTGATCTGTAACAATTCAGATAATAAAGTTTATATCAAATAAAGCTGCTTGTACTCTGAATACAGTGCAACTGAAAATACTCAAATTCCGTATGTGAAATTATAAGGGAATCAGTATGTTCACTGGGTAATTCGTAAAGATGTCATATGCATATTTGATTTCTTCTGTATGTCCCCTGCCAAGAATATGTCAGGAAAAGAAGTTTCACATTTAATAAGTATCTTTAGTGTGTTCATTCTTGGAATTGGGTTTCATGTGTGAGGTTAGCATTGAATAAGTGGAAATAACTTATGTTGTGAATACTGTCTCGCAGCTAATGCAATATTTATATGGGAGCCTGGAATAGTTGAAAATATTAAGTTTTCCATCCTGCAAATACACTCAAGTGTGTAAAGTCGACAGCATGACTATTTGTTGCAAAAGCAATTTCCCTGTAGATGATGTTCTCCTTATCACGTAGAGATTGAGCTTGTCTCAACCCCAAATTTGTGTGTCAGTTTTGACTTAGTATTTTATGGTAAATAATATATTTATCCAAAAATTCAATGGCAAGAAGGCTCTAAGCTTGTATCTGCTTTGTGTATGTAGTACGATAAGCAAGTATGTAAGCATCTCCTTTGCTTACTGTCAACTGCAGAAATGCCCCTAGGCCTCCAGTGCTTTTGATTCTTAAAAAGAGAGGATTTTGTGTTTGTTGGTCAAGCACATTTTCAAAGTAATCTGTCTTTTGTCTTTGCTTCACGCACTACTGCCTTGTATTAGTAAATAATTTTCTTCTAAAAGATGCACTTAACTCAATCTGTAGATAATGCAAGATCTGTAAATTAGAGATTTAAAAACAAAGAATATATGAATTACCTTAAGTAAGATACACACTTCACAGTAAACTATGTATAATCTAGCAAGTAGTGCGTAGGACCTGTGGCATTTATTCTTCTAACAGATGTGTCCAAATTTTACAGAGTTATGTAAAGGACCAGCTAGAAGAACACAGGAAATCAGATGCAGAACAGTATCTTAAGAATCTCTATGATCTATATACAAGGTATTTATATATTGATGATAAAATTATTGTTGTAGATATTCTCTTGTAATAGATTGATTTATCATCAAGATGTAGGAAGAGATGCGAAAAATGTAAACTTCTCATAAAATTGAAATTTTTGAATGGCCGTTAACCTTTACAATGATCGCTATCCTAAAAAAAAATTTAAATTGCTGTTATTATTTTTAATGAGAAGTATTTAGTATAGTGATCTGTGAGAGTACTTTTAAAACTCTGCAAAAGCCAATCCTCCGCATCTCACTCGTGACTTTATTGCAATTGTACTGTATATAATTAAACATGATTTATGCAAAATTGTTTACTTAAATGTAAAGCTGCTAGACGTCTTAATCACAATCAGGATTCTGTTGTGCTATGTACTTTACAAACATGTAATGCTGTAATTCATAGAAATTCAACCTTTTCCTCCTCTCCCCTTCTTTGGTGTTTTTTTTTTTTGTTTGGCTTTTTTTTTCTTTTTGCATAAAGGACTACTAATCTGTCAAGCAAATTGATGGAATTTAACTTGGGTACTGATAAGCAGACTTTCTTGTCTAAGCTTATCAAATCCATTTTCATTTTCTACTTGGAGAATTACATTGAGGTGGAAATTGGTTATTTGAAAAGTAGGAGTGCTATGATTCTGCAACGCTATTATGATTCCAAAAACCACCAGAAGAGGTCCATTGGCACTGGAGGGTAAGTTTCTTCCGTGAAGTTTCATAGTTTTAAAATGGAAGGGAGGTGGTAAGGGGAGAAACACAGTATTTGCCATGTCAAACGTATGATGAACTGCAAAAGAGTAGGCTTCTAAAATGACCTACAGCTTTTTATAATTTGCTGTCACTTTATGTTAACTTCTGCTAAAAAGTGTATTGCTCTCGGTACATGTGAAAGGTGATGCATGGTATTGATACACTCATGGGAAATGAAAAATACCAGTTAAACCTATGTTTCAACTTAGGATCCAGATCCACAAAAGGACTGAAGCAAAATTAAGGTACCTAAAAGCATGTATACGTGTGTATCTAAAAGCATACATTTTTTTTCACCTGCCCAGGTCTTGTGGTCCCCTCCCAAGACCTAGGAAGGGGAAAAGACCATAGCAATGTCAGTGAGAAAGCTCTTAATGAGCCCAGAAGATGCAATGGACTTAGAGAAAGGTAAAACAAGACTTCATTATCCTCAGGGTAGAGAAACTCTAATAAAGGAATAGTGAGAAGTGGGAAAGGAAGAATTAAAACTTATGTGAAGCAGAGGTGATAAGACTACTGCACCTTTCAAAGAGCTACTGGGTTCAGTGTGTGAGGAATGAAAAGTGAGTTGGAGAGAACAGCAGCAGCAAAGTAATTGAATGAATTAAAAAACAAAGATGAAAATTTAATTTTCTTGGGGAAAATTAAATTGATTGTAGTGACTGACTTTATGGGTTGTTTTATGCATGGAAACGTGTTGGAGCATGCTTGACTAAATCAGGACTGCTGAGGTTGTAGATGAGGATGAGAGGATTTGTGGGTGTGGATGAGATAGAAAGCTCTCATTTGTGTTTTGAAAGTGCAATGGGACAGAAAGTATGGAGGCTAAACTTTGTCCACAGAGCGTAAGTGCTGTAGGATTCAATTGAAACTGCTCTCATTCCACAGTGGGGAATAGCTGATGCCGTGGTGTGAACATGCTGTGGTAGAACACAGTTGACCGTGGCATCAGAGGTGGTAGTTTTGCATTTACTGGCAACTTTTTTAAGCTTGCAAGACTGTCTTAATGCTTGCATATACTAAACCGTGTCTTGGATTCTGTTTCTTAAGTTAACAACTAAAATACCCTAAATCATTGTTGAATTTGAGCATCAAAATTTCCATCCAGTGAAATCTTCTTTTGGCATATTTTTGTTCTAGTATTCAAGACCTGAAAGAGAGAATAAGGCAACGTACAAACTTGCCATTGGGGCCAAGTATTGACACACACGGGGAAACTTTTCTGTCGCAAGAAGTGGTGGTTAACCTTTTGCAAGAAACTAAACAAGCTTTTGAAAGATGTCACAGGGTGAGTTTGCTTCCGGTGATCTCCATTAATGATATAATTTTGTGCGTGAAATTAAATCTTGAGGTTCAGTTTTCAGTTGAAGTGTTGTAGGAAGAAAGGAAGGACATTATTAAACAAATTAATTCTCTTTTGTATTTTTCACTGAATCAGGTTCATGGTGGAGGCTAAAGGTTTGATTTTTTAAATGTGGATTTAGTTCTATTTTCTGGTTTTTAATACTATCTATTTTTGGAAGAATTGCGGAGGGTTAAACCTATTGTCTACATTGCTTGTCTTACTAAATTAGACCCAAGACTTGAGAAGCCTTCAGTGTATTTTTTTTTTCCTGCTTTAAAAATATAAATAGTAGTTCAACAGTTGTTTTCGTGTGTTGAGTGCCATTTCTTCTGGCATCAGATATCACCAGTAAAATGCTGAGAGGAATAATCTTTAACATGGTTTACCTTGGTAACAATCTACTGTTCTTTAAATATTTTTAGTCTAACAAAAAGAAGTGTTTTCCTTCTGATTAAATAGCTGATTTTACTGCCTGTCAGTTACTGTTTCTCTGATACTTTAGTGTAAACAAAACACCTTGAATTTAATTGCAAACTTAAATGCTAATGTGTTTTTATTAGCTAACTGAACTGATTTCTAACAAATTTTAATGCCTCTAACATTCTAAATTAGCTTAGAGTGGAAAAACTTGACGTTTTAGATATTTAGAAGTTTTTTATATACTAGAGGGGCCTTTACTCTTGGGATCAGAATTTTTCATACTTCATCTGAAAACCAACAGTATTGGGGTAGAAACCAGTGCTAAGATCTTGGCATGTAAGGAGATTTTTATAATTACTGCTGTATAACTTCTCTATTATCATACGTGCTGCTAGCGTTTCTTCTGTGGTCAGGGCAATAAACTATGCGAAAAAGAAGTTAAATATGTCCCTGGCTAACTAGTTGTAATAAATAACTAGTTGTAATATTTATATCACATGACAGATGCATGCAGATACACTATGTGTCCCAAATGTGACTGCTTTAGGAAAAATAAGTTGGTAATTCTGTGAATATAATTGTATATTGCAACATTTTGGTATTTGGAAATCTCTGTAACGGTGTTTTGTTGTTGGGGTTTTGGTTTTTTGGGAATACAGCAGAAATCTTTGGAGTGTTGTTACATAAATTAACTTGAATTGCAATGATAATCTTTCTTACTCCTCGCTTCATAAAGTCTTCATATAATTCCTTAAAAACCAAAGCCGTATTTCTTATGTGCAAAAGCCCTGTCGCGTTTTTCTTTAGAAAAGGGATTTACTGACAGGTTGCTGTCCAAAATCCCATGTTGCTTACAGCTCATGAAGGTACAGATGCTCTGTGTGTATGTGGGCATTACTTCACTTAATAAAAATGTTCATGCTCCGTTGACTCCAGCTGAACTGTGATAAATGTAGCTGAAGTTCAGTCTGTATTTTATTTTTTTTCTGCAGTACTGTGGCAGTGCTAAAAGAACAGCTGCACCGGGTGAAACTAAGGTCCATCTAACCCAGTGTCCTGTCTCAGACTCTGGCCAGTGGCAGAAGCTTAGTAAAAGAGAAAAAAGGCAGGGCGTGGAGGGAGTCATCTTTTCTTTGTATGTTTTCCCAGCATCCAGCAGTATGCAGTTTAGATAATTCCTGAGATTACAGCTGGACAATTGTGTTTTAAGGACTATTAATTAATATCTTCCTTTATTATTACGTTTATTACTATTATTATTAGAAACTGTTTATACTTCTGCTTTTTGTAGCATCCCATGGCATGCTAGCTTCAGTTTACTTGTTAATGCTGAAGGGTTTATTGGTACTACAGGCTGTTCCTGAATAGTTCTCTGTATGGATACTTTTAATTTAGAATAAAATTCCAATTATTCTGGAATACTTATTACATTTTAAGCTTATCCCCTATGCAATCTCAGATAAACTTTCAAATGTTTGTAGAACTGACCTTTAGGATATTTTTTTTTTCTTTAAAGCTCTCTGATCCATCTGACTTACCGAAGAATGCTTTCAGAATTTTTTCTATGCTTGTAGATTTCTTATGTACTGAACACATCGATTATGCATTAGAAACAGGCCTCGCTGGTGAGTATATTTTCTGAGCATTTCATCTCATTGGCCTTTTTGTGCAGATGATCTTTGCAGGTCCTTGCTGTGCCTTATTGATTGGCCTTGTTCAGAGTGTGTTGGTTAAATGAAATTCAGTTTGTGTGTTTAGGAGTCAGCATTTAATGTATTCTGAAGTGTAACTTCCATTTGGGGAATTGATGCACAGATGGAAACACACTACTGTCTTCAAAAACATTTGTGTCACAGAGATTGGGATGTAGCACTCCCTACCTCTTTCAATTGTTCTCTGTACCATAGCAGGAGAATATTTTTATATTAAGGCTTAGTGTCTTACATTTTATAAGAATCCCATACTTGTTTGTATACCTGTGCATTTTAAAGAGTGACAGTAAATAAGAAAACTGCTGGTCTTAAGGAAGTTAAAATCTTGACAGTGAGAACCTGTCTTTCCCACGTGAAAGCATAAAACTCATGTTCTGAAGAAATATTTAAATTGGCTGTTCCATTTTGCTTTTAGAAATTTTAAAAGCAAGATATTTCTGTGCTTATGGTTATTTCCTGATATAGCTATAAGAAGTATTCTATATATGGCACCATGGTGAATTTTTGAAACTCTAAGCCTGTGATTTAAGCATTCATGGAAAAATTCCACATATTTAAAAAATCATCATGCTAATTGTAAGAACTGCATATCTTTACAGTCCTAATGAAACCTTCTTTGCTTAAGGCATTCCTTCATCTGATTCAAAGAACGCAAATCTTTATTTCTTGGATGTTGTCCACCAAGCCAATACTATTTTCCATTTATTTGACAAGCAGTTTAATGATCATCTGATGCCATTAATCAGGTACCTTATTTTGATTATCATTTCCTTTGTGAACAGTCATTTTTGGTGAAGAAAGCAATTTTTTTTTCATTCCTCATCTCTCTTACGAGGGGTTTATTCTTGGAGTTGTTCAGCTTGATGTTGTGGGAAGGCAAAATGCTGTAATGAGAGGGAGAAGAAGGGAAGTTAAACAAATCAGTATCTTGGAGACTAATGGGAGAGAGGGAGCTCCAAGAGTGTTGATAGGAAGGAGAGGCAAGTTGCTCTTTAGACTTCACTGCTGCATTACAGGCCAGGACTAGAGGGTGTCCTTGGGGTGAGCTGGCAATATTGGGGCTGCTGAGATTCCTAGGGGAGCCTCGCAGGCTCTGCAGGGGGAGCAGCTGGCCATGCCATGGGAGCCACCTGTGAACTACACGAAAGCTGAGTGTTGTTGGGGGCTAGGGGATGGATACAGTCGAGGTAGAGCACACTGATGTACTGTGAATTAGTGCCTGTGAAAAGCTGGGTTTGCTGAGAGGCACTGCTCAGTTGGCACAGTGCTGCCTGAAATGCCTTGCAGTAACTGCCCATTGGCACTCAGCAAATCCTATTCGGGGTCAGATGGCTGTTCGGGCTGTTGGTTGGTTGTTCTGAAGCCAGCTAACTTCATATATACTAGCCCTTTCTGATGGGATGGGAAATCTTCACAAAATCCTGTTGTCAGCAGACAAATTTGTTTTGATATTTTAATACTCTGTCACACACGCAACCCTTTATGCTGTTGCAGTTCTTCTCCTAAATTGTCTGAATGCCTTCAGAAGAAAAAGGATATCATAGAACAAATGGAAGTGAAGCTGGATATGGGCATTGATAGGCAAGTACAGATTTCAACTTTCTGTTAATCATTGCTTCTTGTAAAACTCCTTTGTGATGCGTTAGCTTTCCTTTTAATGAAGAATTATTTATGAACACAAAATTGATTTTTTTTTTCCTTTTTAAATCCAGAAGTATGCATTATTGTGCATAGGAAACTTAGATTCTGTTTGTTTAGAGGGTCATATTTTTCATGGCACATTTCTGACCCATAAATACTTCTGGAAGGACGTTAAAGGATTTTGGTTATGTTGAAAGAATGCAATAATTCCGTTTTACCCTACTGTCTCAAACTACTTTTTTCAACTTTAAAGGAGTGATGATTGAAATAGGTTAAAGACTTGCAGGATTTCCATTAAGAGCAAAGTTTGACAAAAATAGGTTAGATGATTTGCTTGAATCTGTGCAGTGCTATGGATTAGACCTAGTCATAGAAGTCTGTAGACCTGGAATAATTTTGATTCTGACATTGACTTGCTTTGAGGTTGTGAGTGACTCATTTAATCTCTCTCTTTTTTTTTTTTTTTTCCTATTTCTCCAAATAAAAATGAGAGGATAGTTATAAAAATTGTAAATTAAAATCATAGCTGTTTTGCAGCAGAGGAAAATAAACTAACAAACTTTAATATTAGGACATGGAGCTGTTGTACGATGCCCTACTTTGGTCTGGGAAGCATGTAGTGTTCCTATATCTTAAGGTGGCATTAGTCAACATAGAAGATGTTACCTAAGCTTTCTGTGCCTGTTTTCTCTCTGTGGTAACGGAAATAAGCCATCCTGTGGGTAACGAGGTCTACTCTAAAAATGATTATTGAGGTTTTTGTAAGGATCATGCGATACTGGTGAGGGGTGAGAGCAGCACTGTATAGGAAAAACAGGCATTGTGTTTGTGTCCTGCTGGGTACTTTCTGCAGAGAGATGGGGAAGAGATTCGGTATGTTGTTTGCACTTGCATTTTCTGTAGGTGCAAAAAGAAAGGTGGAGATAGAGGATGTGTAAGTGGCATTTGAGATTTATAGCTGCTCCTGCTGGAAGTGACCTTAGAGGTTTAAACACAAGGTTTGAAATACTTAGAATCATAGAATCTTTAAGGTTGGAAAAGACCTCTAAGATCATCGAGTCCAACTGTCAACCCAACACCACCATGTCTACTAGACCATGTCCTGAAGTGCCACGTCTGCACATTTTTTGAACACCTCCAGGGATGGTGACTCCACCACCTCTCTGGGCAGCCTGTTCCAATGCTTGACCACTCTTTTGGTGAAGAAATTTTTCCTCATATCCAACTTAAACCTCCCCTGACGCAACTTGCAACTTGAGACCATTTCCTCTTGTCCTTTTGCTAGTTACTTGGGAGAAGAGACCAGCACCCACCTGGCTACAACCTCCTTTCAGGTAGTTGTAGAGACCGATCAGGTCTCCCCTCAGCTTCCTGTTCTCCAGACTAAACAACCCCAGTTCCCTCACCTGCTCCTCATCAGACTTGTGCTCCAGTCCCTCTACCAGCTTCATTGCCCTTCTCTGGACACACTCCAGCAACTTGAACCATTGAGGCCATAAGCTTAGATCTAGACAGGTGTAGATCAGTCATCAGTGTTACAATAGTTTGTAACTGTTTGTGTAAAATAATTAATCTCTTAAAAATGATAGTAAGATATAGGAGAACAAGTCCCTGTTGGAAAAATGGTACCTTCAAGGGTTCATGGATGGAGACTTCAAAAATATTTGCGTTTTGGCACATATAAAAAAGAGATTAGTTTTGAGATGAATGTTACATGTAAAATGAGTTTGTGTGCCTGCTTACATGCTGCTTTGTGGTGCTGCTGATGCTGTTGAGAATTGATTGTCTTGCTTAAAGGAATGATCTAGTTTAAAAAAAGCAAATTTCTAAATGTTGATGGCTTAAACATTATCCAATCTGAAAGAGTCTAATAGCAGCTTCTTGAATGGCATTCGTAGCAGTTGTCTACCTCTGTGAAAGTCATTTATTAGACAAACAAAATCAGTTCAACTGGTTTTCTTTCAGTGTGTATTCTGTGTAAACAGCTTTCTGGGAGTATTTGTTGAAAATGGAAATTGAGGAGAATGCCAGATATAATTTCTTTAAATTTCTGTTGGTATGTGGAATGTTGAATGAAGTACATCTGAAATGCAAGTCTGAGCTCTATGCATAGAAAATAAGTTTTTTCCCTCTTTGGATACATATATTCTTCTGCCCTTCACCCCAACTTGAATCCTTTAAAGCATGCGATGGCCTTGATTGTGTTTTCTTCAGGGAGGTTGGAGGGGTGAGGGTGGTGAAGAAAAGGGGAGGGGGGGGGAAGGGAGAGACGGAGGTTCCTGGCAAAGGTAGGCACTGAGAGGTGTGTGCAGCCTTTCTCAGCTGCTTTGCTGTTTGACCTTTGGTTTGGACTTAAAGTAAACCAGGGCCTTGACCTTAGATAATGTTCTGAAAAGATAAATCCCGTGAGGGAGAAATAAATGACACAGTAAAACTCTCTTAGATTTCTGAGAACAAAAGAAATACCAAGCTCTGGTAAAGGAAGAGGTTGTTTGTTCAGGATTGGGGGTGGTTTTTTGTTTGTTTGGGTTGTTGTTTTTTTTCCCCCCCTTCATTTTTCAAGTGTTTTCTGATGCTTGCTTCTGAGTAATATGCAACATGATCTAATTCTACTAAACTCTTTGGAATGCTTCCTTCAGCTTTCTGGTTCCCTCTGCATTGAAGAATGCTATCCAGTTTCTCTGAAGAGCTGGATTTGAATGAATTACTGTACAATTAATGTGTCCCCTTTAAAACCAGCTGGCCAGCATGCTGTGTGCTGTGCTCCAAGACACTGAACTTGGAGGAAAGAGTATTTTTACGGTTGTTGGGGTTGGGTTTTTTGCAAATTCTCCTTTTTTTAACTACTTAAAATAAAGCTTATCTTCTCTAGAGTATTGCATTGCAGCTTCAGAAGAGTGTATGTTTAGATGAAGTATTTCCTTTGATCTGCCCTAGTACCCTACTGCTTACAATAAATCTTTGCTTTTAGTGTATCTTCTGTAGATTACTCAAATGTTAGGTAGAGGGGTGTTTTCCTCATTGCTTTATGCTGCTTGCTTGTGTACAGAATGATATTAATATATGTAAATATAAAAATAAAGGAAATTAAAATGTTCCCTTCAAAACCCAATCTGTATTTGTAACTTTAAAGGACACTGAATTGTATGATTGGACAGATGAAGCACATCTTGGCTGCAGAGCAAAAGAAGACAGATTTTAAACCAGAAGACGAAAACAATGTTTTGATTCAATATACTAATGTAAGTAAACAAAGTCCCAGCTCATCAGTATAGCCTCAAATGCTCACAAGTGTTACCAGGTACAAGATGTTCCTTACCGAACATGCATTATGCAACATATGCATTTGATTAAATAGCTATTCCATTTTACGCTAAGCACCTCCAAACTCTGTTGTAGACCATTTTGTCAAGCTGAAAAGGGACATTAGCAGTTTTGTATCTAGTGTCAGACAGGAATCAGTAGGTGCTAGACAAAATGTCACATTGTTTCCCTGCCCAAGAGGCTCAGATTTGGAACAAGATTTTTAGCTGATAAATTAGCTTTAAGCTGTCAGTTTCAGAAAATCAAGCATCAGGTACTGTCTAGTTCCTGGACACTTTTTCCCCTTAGAATGACAGGAGTGTGACAAAGCATTGTGGGTACGGTATAAACATTCTTTGCTGCAGAACATTGTCTCTACCACCAGATCTGTCTGCATCCCAGCCTGGGAGCTGCTGAGAAGGTGTAGTGCCAGGCTACATTAGGTTCTTGTTAGGGAATAATGCAGAGAGGAGTAGAGAGCAAACTACAGTCAATGGGAAGAAGTGAGAGCGCCACCTGAATGCCTGCAGCCGGGTGGGAACGGGAGAAGTGGTGAGGCACTGGAAAGAGGTTGCCCAGAGAAGCTGTGGCTGCCCC